CACACACACACACACACACACACACACACACACACACACACACTCATTTAACTCCAGCAATTCCCTCCATATTGCCTCCAGGAGCAAACAGGAAATGCTCTGTTTGTCATTCAAAGCCCTTCTTAACTTAGAGCCCCCTCTTGCCTTTCTAGTCTTCTCCCTCCTTATTCCCTACCATGTACTCTTTCATCCAGTGACACTGGCCTCTTGGCTGTTCCATGAACAGACCTCTCCATCTCTGGGCTCCAGGCGTTTTCTCTGGCTGTCTCCCATGCTAGAACAGTCTTCCTTCTCTGTTCTGCCTACTCACCTTTCTGGCTTCCTTTGAATCCCATATTAAAAAGTCATCTTTTATTGGAAGCCTTCCCCAACCACACCTAATTCCAGTGATTTCCCTCTGTTAATTATTTCCCATTTATCCTGTACATAACTCACTTTGTACATGCTTGTCTCCACCATTAGACTGTAAGCTCCTTGAGGGCAGGGGTTGTCTTTTGCCTCTTGTTGTATCCCCAGCACTTACTTAGCACAGTGCTTGGCACCTAGTGGGCATTAAATAAATGTTTATTGATTGAAATGTTTTGTACATCCCTGTGTATGGACAGGTAGTTTCTTCCCAGTCAGAATTTAAGCCCCTTTGGTGCAGATACAATTTTGTTTTCGTCTTTGTATCCCCAGCACCTGAGAAAGTACCTGGCATATAGCAGGCCTTTAATAAATGCTTGTTGATAGATGAATGGATTGATATCTATTGCTCTTTAAGGTTTTTAAGACACTTTATAGGGGCAGCTAGGTTGCTCAGTGGTTAGAGCACCGGCCCTGAAGTCAGGAGGACCTGAGTTCAAATCTAGCCTCAGACCAAACGTTTGATACTAGCTGTGTGACCCTGGACAAGTCACTTAACCCCAATTGCCTAAAAAAAAAACTTTACGTATAAGATCTTATTTGAGTCTCACAACAAACCTGTGAAGTAAGTTCTAGTATTATCCCCATTTTATAGATCAGAAGACTGAGGTTCAGAGAGGCTAAATGATTTTCTGATGGTTGTACAACTAGCAAAGGTAGGATTCAAACACAATTTTCTCTTGATTCCAAGCCCAACACTCTTTCCATTCTATGAAACCGCCTGAACTCTCCACTTCACATTATGTTGGCAAACACAGCCAAGACATTCCTCTAAGAAGCAACGTGATACAGGGCAGTTAGGCAGTGCAGTGGATAGAGCACAGGCCCTGAGGTCAGGAGGACCTGAG